TGTAGATTTTTATTGATGGTTTAACACTCTGATGGAGGTTTTTTTATAATAATACAATCTAAAATACATGTTTTCACATGCAACTACGTCATAAGTCATGCGTTGAAGTTCACAAAAGAACTGACATCTTTTAGACTGATTAATCGTGAAGGTATGTTTAGTGTAATGTAATAAAGAACTGACATCTTTTAGACTGATTAATCGTGAAGGTGTGTTTAGTGTAATGTAATAAAAAACTAACATCTTTTAGACTGATTAATCGTGAAGGTATGTTTAGTGTAATGTAATAAAGAACTGACATCTTTTAGACTGATTAATCGTGAAGGTATGTTTAGTGTAATGTAATAAAGAACTGACATCTTTCAGACTGATTAATCGTGAAGGTATGTTTAGTGTAATGTAATAAAGAACTGACATCTTTTAGACTGATTAATCGTGAAGGTATGTTTAGTGTAATGTAATAAAGAAATGAATCTTTCTCAGATTAAACAAACACATAGAGATCTTACCTGAAGAAATCGTTCCTGCAGTACAGTTTGCCGTCTCGGGAAAAACACTTCTCTGTCAGATTACATCCACATTCGCAGCATCGGACACAGTTAGTGTGCCAAGATCGGTCCAGGACGTTCAGTAAGAACCGGTCTAAGATTGGACGATAACACCCTGCGCATTGGACCATCTTCATAGTGTCTATAGAAGGGTGCAGTTCTTCGGTCCCGGTGCCGTGGGTGGCTAGAGCTCTTTAACTTATTCCGGTTAAATACAGGAAATGAATGCTACAATTTAAACCAGCTACTCTGAATGACAAGCGCCCGTCAACCAACTACTCTTGCTGGTTTACCTTACCCCCCGGCTATGCTAGCTGAGTGTAACAAAGCAATGCTGTTATTCAGTCCTGATATTCTGAGCGACGAGCACCTGTCAACCTACTCCGAGCTACGTCGGCTAATGATAACTAGGTAGGCGATGTTGTTCTTCACTCCTGCTGTTCTGGGTGCTGTCATCCTAGTCCAGATTTAGTCCTGAAGTGGTACTAATGATTTCTGGCCGACGGCTGCTGAAACAACCTTTTTTTTGAGTCAAGCAAGTGGGATTTCTGAAGGCAGTGGCGTCTCTAAGGCAGTCTGTTACCGTGTTGTTGACGGTTGATGGTTGCCAATTGAGATTCGAAAGCTCGTTGCTTCTGAGTTACACGGCTTTCCTAAATCAGTGACAAGAAGAAGGAGTAGAATTTAAAAGTAACTTATGCCAAGGGCACGCAGAGCATTTAAAGTATAGATCGGCGAATCTTAAGCTTCACGGTGAAAGTTGTATTCTATTCTACTGTTGATGTGAACGACGGTCCTTTAAAACGCAGTTAAAGGTACGAGTGATCCGGAATTAGCCGTAGGATGGGTTAAGCAGGATCGGCGCAGGATGGTACCTGGATCCAGTTCAGTTTAGTAGTTATCTGATGGTCAAAAACAAAGCAAGAGCGAGCTCTGGGTGTACGAGTACAACGTTGGGCGACACACACATCTGCCGTCATCCTCCACAATCATCCCTTCTCATACGCCGCGCCCTACGCTTCGTTAAGTTTGTTTTAGTAGTCGTGCGGTAAAGGCGGGACCAAGACCTGCCTGTCAAGTTAGTGGTTGGCATGGAAACTAGTTTGCGCCAGGAGAATTCTGAGGGTTTAGGACAAACTCCAAAGTAATAATTCAACACGTTTCGGGGTGGGAGACTAACCGCTTGAGATCGAAAGTTACCAGGCGTTTGCAAAAGTTAACTTTGTTTGTATCTTTGAGAAATCTTCCTCGAGAGTGATTTTTGCCTTTATACTCTAAACGTAAATAGTACATCCAACATTCCCTTTAGCACGTAAATAGTACATGCAACATTCCCTTTAGCACGTAAATAGTACGTACAACATTCCCTTTAGCACGTAAATAGTACGTACAACATCCCCTTTAGCACGTAAATAGTATATGAAACATTCACTTTAGCACTTAAATAGTACGTAAAACATTCCCTTTAGCACGTAAATAGTACGTACAACATTCCCTTTAGCACGTAAATAGTACGTACAACATTCCCTTTAGCACGTAAGTAGTATATGAAACATTCCCTTTAGCACGTAAGTAGTATATGAAACATTCACTTTAGCACATAAATAGTACGTGCAACATTCCCTATAGCACGTAAATAGTGCGTACAACATTCCCTATAGCACGTAAATAGTACGTACAACATTCCCTTTAGCACGTAAATAGTACGTACAGCATTCCCTTTAGCACGTAAATAGTACGTACAGCATTCCCTTTAGCACTGCTGCACAGACATCCTAAGCTTTGCATTGCTCTGTTATTTGAAGTTAGATAAAACACGGCCCGGCATGGCCAGGTGGTTAGGGTGCTCAACTCGCAATCTGAGGGTCGCGGGTTCGAATCCCCGTCACACCAAATATGCTCGCCCTTTCAGCCGTGGGGGCGTTATAATGTGACGGTCAATCCCACTATTCGTTGGTAAAAGAGTAGCCCAAGAGTTGGCGGTGGGTGGTGATGACTAGCTGCCTTCCCTCTAGTCTTACACTGCTAAATTAGGGACGTGTAGCTTTGCGCGAAATTCAAAACAAAACAAACTAGATAAAAGAAGCCTGCAAGGGATAACAAGTTTAAGTTCCTAAGAATAAACGACAACTCTTCTTGACGGAACAATGAAGAACAAAACATACGTATATCACTCTGGAATAATAATTTTAAAAAAATGTATATCATTCCAGAAGTAATAATAGGTATCTCACTTCTGAATAAAGGCCTAGAATGGCCTGATGATTAGGGTCGTGGGGTTCGAATCTCATCACTGAATATGCTCGCCCTTTCAACCGTGAAGGCCTTATAATGTGATCAGCCAATTCCACTTTTCGTCCATAAAGAGCAATCCAAGAGTTGGCGGTGGGTGTTGTTGACTAGCTGCCTTATCTTTGTAGTTATCTATTGATGTGTATCTAAAAATCATTCTGGCACATGTAGAACTGTTCATCTAGGTATTGGGGGGGTAGGGGTTAAAGGTTGTTTTTTGTGATCCTAGGAGACGGAGACTCGGAGAGAGAAAACACTGCCTAAGTCCGTATTAGGTTGTCATGCCCTACTTTTTTTTCAACAATGAAACTAACAGTCGCAGGTGAGTGATATATCTGAACACTAGTTTAACCTAAGTTCATGTCACTAACTGTACAGTGTCCACGGCACGTGCAATAACGTTTCATGACTGCCGATGGGACAGCACACGAAAGTGTGGTGTATCTCATTATAATTTATCACAGTAGTGGACACGACCGGTGTGCTTGTTGCCAGTGGACCACGAGAAAAGGACTTGATCTGTGAAACTTTCCGATGTTAACTGTCCAAGATCTTCCATCGTGATTTTGTAAGTTAGAAAAAGTTGTATGCTACTTCTCGAAGATCAAGATATCGATATAAACAGATTTACAAAAAAAAGCCTCAGAAGCGACAAGACAGCCAATCAGGAATACTTCACAACTTAGAGCTATAGAGCAGAGAGAAGACAAGAAGTATTCCTGATTGGTTGTCTTCTCTCTGCTCTATAGCTCTAAGTTGTGAAGTATTCCTGATTGGCTGTCTTCTCTCTGCTCTATAGCTCTAAGTTGTGAAGTATTCCTGATTGGGCAACTTACGATCCATGTTGAGGGTTTAACTGTCACTCTTATAACGCAAAAAGAACTTAAAGTGCGTGTGGGAGATATCTTGTGGTATTGCTCGCAATGGTGGATTCACTATACCACCCATTTCTTGAGTTAACTTCAAAAAGTGTGTGTAGTAATCCTGCTAGAAGGACCGTTACCAATTAAAGTCAGTTTCTCACATATACACACAAAAAAAAAACCAACAACACAGTATTATCTTAAGAAAATCTCGTCAGAAAATTGCGTTATAATTGAAATAATTCCAGCTCGAGGAATCATAGTTATTAAAATCAGCCCCAGTCAAATAAAAGTTGCCAACTAAAGCCAATCTCGCTAAAAGGGGGCGTTACGATCCCGCTATGTTAAAATAAAAAAAAATCATAAACTTCAGTAATAAAAAAAAAAATTCATAACATTAACTATAGAATTAATGGATCCAATTAATGGATCCATATCTTAGCAGCGATTGTTCGTGATATAGACTTGTGAAAACATTAAAAATAATTTTTGATGTATATTATCTTTCACAAGGGATTCGCTTTCACAACTTGAAAATTCTCGAGATACCTTGTAGAATGTACAGCCTACCTGTTAGTCAACTATAGAATATACTTACCAAAGTCTATTTCAGTTTTGCAATTAATATTTTATAGGTCGAACTCGTCTTTATGTGAGAACCTTCCATTTCTAAATGCTTTTACAATCATTTCATGTTTTTACTTCTTAAGTTTATGAGAAAAACTAACATCATTTCATGTTTTTTATTTCTTGAATTTATGAGAAAAGCTAGCATCATTTCATGTTTTTTACTTCTTGAATTTATGAGAAAAGCTAGCATCATTTCATGTTTCTTACTTCTTGAGTTTATGAGAAAAGCTAACATCATTTCATGTTTTGTACTTCTTGAGTTTATGAGAAAAGCTAACATCATTTCATGTTTTTACTTCTTGAGTTTATGAGAAAAGCTAACATCATTTCATGTTTTTACTTCTTAAGTTCATGAGAAAAGCTAACACCATTTCATGTTTTTACTTCTTAAGTTTATGAGAAAAAACTAATATTTTGTGATGATTAACAACAATGAAAAGTATCGTAACAGCTCCCTCCCTTTAAAATCAAGGTACGTCAAACGCTTCGGGGCACATGGTTAACTTCTGTCGTCTCGCAATCAGCGGGTCACGGGTTCGAATCTTGTCACCGAACACCCTCGCCCTTTCAGCCGTGGAGTCGTTATAATGTTACGGCCTATCCTGCCTTTCGTTGGTAAAAGAGTAGTGCAAGATTTGGCGGTGAGTGGTGTTGACAGACTGTCTTCCCTCTATCGCTTCAAAATTAGTGACTGTTGGTGCAGATAGCCCTCGAGCAGTTTTGCCCGAAATTCAACAAAACAAACAAGTCTTAGCTTCTCATCACGGATTTAGGCATAAAAGGAACTGACCCTAGACTACAGGTTACCATTTGCTTACCCTAAAGACCACTGTTTCTTGTTCAGTCATGAACATCATATTTTCCATTGTAGCATGCAAACGGTCAAATCAGTTGTCATCATAAAAAGGACAGACATCCTGTCGGTGAAAGGGATGGAGTTCGTGTTACCCTCTTCATGAAGTTCTACAACTCGTAACAAGAGGGACGCTCTTTGGTAGTTCATTCACTGCTCACTAGGAGTACCGAAAACAGAAGTTTGCCTGTCGTGAAGCACAAAGCTACATAGTGGGCTTACTGTGCCGTGTGCAGCGCAAGGATCGAATACTAAATTTTAGCGTGTATAAAACGTCTTAAAGTAAAATTTCAATCACTTGGACAGATCTTTCAAATATTTATTTCCCCAGAAGGTTGTTAGAGTTTTCTTGATTTTATCAGAACGTTCCCATCAAAATAAACCATTTTAAGAGCTTTGTTTATTTCTTTACAGGTTATCAAAACCGATCGTTTTATACGCATATCTCTCTCTCTCTCTTTGTGGCATCGTTATCTATGCAATATACCTCCAAAACATGCCATCAGGGATAACG